AAAAAAAAAAAAAAAAAAAAAATCAGCATAAGAAATTAGCTAGAGAAGACAATTATATAGGCAAAATGCCCACAAAAGACTTTGCAGCTGACCATGAAGTTTGATAAATTAATCATAGAAACCCACCTAATTAGAGGATTGAGTAATGAAAAAATGGGCCAGATCCAGAGAGAGATTTACCCCATTCTCATCTCTTTATTGGGCTTCTATCTATCTATCTAGTATATATGTATTTCGTAGATATCTTAATTCTCTTTTTCTGCATGATCATTATGTTATCTACAATTCATGATTTCCTCTGAAATGGGTTAAACGTAAAGATTTAAAGAAAGGAAATTATCAAATAAAAACAGTTCGAAACAAACAAATAAAGAAAAATTAATGACATGTAATTCATTTATTTTGTGTGTATATTCAGCTATTCTATGGACAACATATATTGATTCCATATTTTGGTTACATAATATGATCCTAACTTGTACCTTAATATCTATCCCAACTAGTTCAATGATACTTTTAAATTGTTAATCCGTCCAGTTATCAAAAATTGATTGGGGGATTAGGGAGATGGATGAAACATAACTTTATATATATATAAACCAAAAGCCATGCAAAGCAACCATGAGATATACATAATATGAAGGCCAAAAAAAATAAGAAGAGGATAATACATATAATATAGGTCCGAAATTAATTGCCAAGTTAATTTGGATACCATAAAGATATACATAGAGAGAGAGAGAAACCAGAGGTCCATGTTAATTTGCTACAAAAGATTTAAGATTAATGGTTTAGATTAATTGAATGAATAAAAAAATTAAATTATGAAAAAATATATATAATTAAATATTGACTATTCACTATTTGTGGCTTTTGAAATACTAACTAACCCCAAATAGAACATGCAAGCCTTAAATAGAAATTGAAGCCATATTAATAGAAAACACAGCCCAAGAAATGTGGCTGATCTATGATCACATGTACATTAATAGTGGTTGAAAGCTCAAAAGTTTGCATTTCTGGAGAGGTATAATGAGGATGAAAGAAGCTCATCAAACACCCAATTAGATGACTAAAAATATTTAATTTATCAAATAAATATAATTTAAGCTTCTTTTTTTTTTTTTGAAAAAATGGAAAGATATATATAGAGCCACAACAGATCAGATAATAATGTTGCTCTGAGCAGCAGCTTTTCAATCTTCTCCTCTGCTAGGAGTATTTATTTGCAAGCTTAGCCAACCTTCTTCTTAAATAATACCTTCACCTGTCCCGACCGTACCTATCATTCCACAGCCAAACAAACTGGTCTTTGTAATATGATATCAGTTCATATTTATCCAGAACAAGATAAATAAGAGGGCAAACGGATTCCTGATGTCATGATGATGCCAGCCACAGTTAAAATGTTAATTAGCCAGTAAAAACCAAAAAGTTGAGGGTTGATTTTTCACAAGAGGCTAAGTGTAGGTGCTGGTTTGCACATTTTCCAAAAAAAAAGCGGGTTTGCATAAACAACTCTCACAATTTTCTTTTTCACTTTAAAAAAGCGAAATTTTACATTTTTCAACTAAAAAAATCACGACGTCATAATACTAAAAAATTTAAATATTATTAATATATCAATTCACAAAAAACTATTTATTTAAAATATTAAAATAATTTTACAAATAACCCTAACCTTTGACCTCTTAATTATTATTATTATTATTTTTTTTTTTTTACTTAAACCACATGGGTTAGCTCAATGAGCAGCTGGCAGTGGACGGTGGGCTAAACTGAATCACAGGCGCAAGTGACACAATGATTATTATTATTATTATTTTTTATTTTAATTGTATAATAAAAGAAATTATCTTTTATTTTTTATCTCACTTCATTCATAAATTATACGACTTCAATATAAAATTTTTTGCTTTCAGCAAAATAAAATAACTACTAAATTATTTTTTAAAAAATGAATATAATTTAAAATAAAAGATGAAAAATTTTAACATGATAATGTTATGATTCAAATATTCAAAATTTGAATATCATTCAAATATTAAGTATATCTACCGACTGGTTGATGACACGTTCTGCACAAACAACACAATGATTAAGACACAAACGTGCTTGTATTGGGAATCATGTTAAGATGCGAGCCAGAGGCCCAGATCCACACCTAGTACCAGCTGTCGATGTATGTACCTGTGTTGGAAGCAATCGATATTGCAGGTTTGGACATGATTGCCTGCGGCACTGCCACCACGGCCCCTGCCGTCGTTGCTGGGAATATATGGGCCGGTACTCCCATCGTCGACTGCGATTGATGATGGAAATGATACAGCGGGTACATCGGCATCAACGTGTTCGCCCCTATCATTGCATGCCCAGGGTACGCCTGTGGGGAGAAATGCCCGTTCATATAGGCCCCGCCGGAGTAGCTTAGTTTCTGTGCACCGTCCCAACAAATAACCGTTAAGTATTTGGCCTCGCAAGGATTAATTAATTTGACGATCAAAGATATTTGAGAAAGTGTGATTTTGATGGACTTACATGATTATAGCTAATATTGGTTGCAATGTAGCTAGGGAAATACCTGAACAAAATAATAATGATAATTATTTTATAAATCGTTAAGACGCAATCTATTGTTATATCAGAAACCCCCGATAAAAATAAGGTTCAGATCGATCGCCAACGTACCCATAAAAGGAAACGGCCTGATGATTCTGGTAGGAAGCTGGAGCTGGAGATGTTGCTGCCGGTGTTCCTGTAGGATAGTACCATTGGAAATGATTGACAGGTGCTGGTGAAATGCACCTTGGTCCAACGATTGATCCTTCGCGATCGAATTTTCCATATATATTAGGCCCGAAAAATAATATATAATTAATATTCACAAAAACTGCTAATTGGGATGTACCTTGTTGAGGAGGAGGAGGAGGGGGAGGAGGAGTGGCGGTGGATCTGGGGCGGCGAGCGCCGAGAGAAGCAAGGTTGCAGTTGGCGTGGCGACCGTTGATGAAGGGCGTGGCGTCCTCACAAGCTTTCTTTGCTGCTTCGGCTTCCTTAAATGTAACCTACAAATTAAGCCCGAGACTTAACGTTTAAAAAAAAAAAAAAAAAGGAGACGCCGTTGTGTAATATGCAGGAGCACCGGCAACGAATAAACGTATATTTATGCTTACAAATCCGTAGCCCTTGGATCTTCCCGTGAGTTTATCGGAGATAATAACGGCCTCAAGGATCTCACCGTACTTCTCAAAGTGCTGTCGCATGACCTCATTGGGTGTCTCCCATGCCAGCCCGCCGACGAACACCTTGGTCAGTGTGGTGTCACCGAACTGCCCAATATTGTTGCTCATCCTCATTGCAGTACTCCGGCCCCCCAACAATACCTCAGTCCGGATCAGTACTAATATGATCGAGTTTTTTTTCTTAGTTTGGAAACTAGCTAGAGTGATGAGGATTTATGAAGAAATGGAGAGGATAGAGAGAGAAGCAAGGAATGTAGCCAGCTAGGATGATGAACGGAATAGAAGGAGAGAATAATAAAACAGAGATAGGTACAGATAAGCAGATAACTTAATGATTTACGTTTTATTTTTTTTGTTGGGTGATTAACAAAGCTGTTTCAGCATCAATTACCTTTTTTTTGTTTCAACAAAAGGAATTCGATTTTTTTTAAATAAGATCTTAATTTTAAATTTTATGAATGAAAAAATAGATGTTGAGAGAGTTTTCTCAAATAAAATTTGAAAGTCTCGATTCTAAATTAATTTAAATTTAATTTGATTATCAGATACTGAAATATTAATAAAAAAAAATTTGTGTCAATTATTTAATATTATAAAAATTTAAATATTTATTTTGTCTTTAAATTAAAACTTTTAATACTAGTTTAGCTAAATTTTTATTAGTTATCAACTTAGGTAATGAATGTTCATCGTTTACGCTTACATTCATGTACATTCTTCCACCTTTCACTTTTTAATTTGATTGGATACATAAAAAATTTTCTTCCCCCGCTAATCCCTTCATTTCCGCAAACCATACATGCCCCTAATTAATCTCTCCTTTTTTTTTTTCTTTTTTTTTTTTTTTTTTGCCAATTCAGCTACATCTTTCTGGTTTATGGCTTTTCTAATTTCTGTCATTTTTGTTCAGTACGTAGTGTTCTACCAATTATTTCAATACGAAAAGTATTAAGAAACCCAAAATTTAAGTTTTATACCCAGATTTTTCTTTCCCGAAATTCTTTACTATCAAAAAACAATTCTAGATTATTTCTTTTCTCTCTAACTTCTGGATTATTCTTTTCATTCTTTTTAAACTCACACTTCTAGGTTCTAGCATAGAAGAAGGCCTTTGCAGGCCAAGATTATTATCCCCAATTCCGTTTAACAACGCAATCTATTACTAGGATAAAGCAGTTAAATTATCTAAATTTCAATTAGCAATTATTGGTACGTAGCATTTTTTTTTTTTTTGTATAAAATTATCGGAAATTTATTACCGCTACGACTATGGAGTGTCAATCTGTTTTTCAAATAACGTGACAAATAATGGGCTACTACCATGAAATAAAGGATGGTACTCTTATTTTAAAATTTTTTTTATCAGCCAATAAATTATAAATAAAATTTTACAATAAATTCTTAAATTTATTTCAAGTTATCGATTAATTAAGTTTTTAAATTTTTATTAAAAGAAATAATTTTTTAAATTTGATAATATGATTAATTTAACCTTCTATTTTATGGTAGTTTTAATACGTGTTTATATTTTATTTATATTGATAAAATATTAATATATTACTGTATATGTAATTGATATTAATTTTTTTATACAAGTAAAATACAAATAAATATTAAGTCTATTGCAAAGAAAATTAGTTAAATTATTCAGATTATTAAATTTAAGAATTTATTTATTTTAATAAAAATTT